GGGGGGGGCATACATCTTTTTGTTAACTTTGGTTGTTACATCTTTTTGTTAGCTTTGGTAGTTATAAAATCTTTTTGTTAGCTTTGGTTGTTACTGTTTATCCCTTAGTCGACACAATGTGACAATACTTTTTCATTTGGCCGACCCAGGCTGTGTGAAATACATTTCATCAGGCAGATGGAGATACTCCGTAGAACTATTGAACGACCTGAGACCTGTGGCTTTAAAATAAGTCATCAACAGAAGATATTTATACCGGCTAATGATATATATATATATATATACAATATGCTTGCCGTGCTAAGGAGGGGTGTGGGAAAATGCAGACCTGCCACTCATCCGAATTTTTATCGGAATATCCCTATTTTTTTGGTCCCAAATCTCAAGCATCCCACCAGACAGACGACGACGACACTCGATCGATCAAATAAATTCTCACGAGGAAATGGTACTCATGCCCTCTACGTAGAAGGAGAAGAATCTAACTGTTATAGTACAGGCTACCACAGATACTGGCAAAAAAAATGAAAATGCGAACAAAAAATGTTGCACTCAGAGTATTATAATTATTTGGTGTGGTTGCAGTGCCCTTTTCAACGATATAACGCAAGACATAGACAGACCGGGAACTTAATTCAAACGGTTGGCACATTCGACCAGCAAAAATAAATTCTACCTGAAAATAGATGAATGAATACTTAAATAACTCTATGAGTCACAACAGACGCAAGAACATTGGGACGTCCTGAAGAGAAAGTTGGGACCAGAAAATGTACAGGCTGTGTTACTCTCAGCGTTGACAATCCTGTACTCAGTGACAAAAAACCCACTAAATTAGTAAATAGTTACCAAAAAGTATTCGCAGACAGCCCAGTTTGGTAGGCAGCGGGTATACTCGGGGGTCCTGCTGTGCCTACATGCTTGAGACTTCCGGTTTTTGTGTACAGATTGGTGCTGATTTGCTTGGGGAAAGGCCACAACTATGGACAGAGATGGATATTCTTTCTTTTCATTCTTTTGTTTGTTCGTTTGTTTGTTTGTTTGTTTGTTTCAGCTCAGGTCAGGAGAAACAGATGGTGGAAATGTTGGAGAGGGAGAGAGAGAGTGAAAGAGAGAGAGAGAGAGAGAGAGAGAGAGATTGAGAGAGCAAGCGACAGACAGACAGACAGACACATGGGATGGGGTGGGGGGGGGAGTAGAGTGGTAAGGTACGAACAAATAAAATATGGTTCTGTAGCAGTAGCCGCTCTCACCTTCTGCCAGAGGTACCGGTTCACATCCTTGCTCTCCACGACCTGTCGCCGGGCGTGGTGTCTGGCGCTGGAACACTCGGTGGGTAACGTGAGGCGGTGCGTCGTCTCCTTCAGCTTCTCCTCATGCAGAACCGACGTGAGCAGCTGAGGTTTTCTCCTGCAGAGAAAAAACGTGTGGTAGTAATTGGTATGACGCTACTTATAATGATGACAATAGTAGTAGTAGTGTCTGACGATGACCAATAATTCCGCAGAGGAGAATTATTTCTCCATCGAAATAGAATAATTAAATTGAAGAATTAAAGTAGGTTAAGATGGCTTGTGGCTTCTGCTGTGGCCTATGAAACCAATTCTGGCAGAGAAAATTTTGCCGCATTAGTATTTAGTTACTGTATAAGAACACCTTCAAGACTAACGTTGTTCAAAACAGGCAGGACCTCTGAAAACAACGTCCGCTTTGCATAAAACGTAGATGATATATTAATATAGCGAGTTCAGGCTGCAAGCCACACTTGATCAAGCGACCCGATCAGTAAATCTTACCCCAGAATTTTTTAAATTATTATTGAGAGCATTGCCTCACCACACGATTCTAATGAATCTAAATGTATATTTTGTTTTAATTACGTAGTCCCTGAGTGGAAGTGGCCTAATCTGCAACAAGTAGGGGGCGATAATACTGGATTACCTTGGCTCGAAACCGCAGAAGGACATGCACGAGATGGTTGTTCGGGTAGTTTTCATAATTTAATTGTCCACCACCTTCATGTATTTGTCTGAGTCCTACCGGAGGTGGACACGAAATCAGACTAGGCTAAATCAAAACTTTTGAACAACCTTTCAGTGTTGAAAAGGGTTTAATTCCATATCAGTGGCTGAGAGATAGAGGTGAATATATGTGTCCACGTTCCTTGCTTAGAGAAAAATAATTGATTCTTATGACAAAGTGTAACAAAAAAATACACAGACACATCAGAAATCTTAAAACAGTAACAAAACAACTATAGTGCGGTCAAAAATGCGTGGCGCAACTTATTGTCAAATATCTCTTTAATTATCGAACATGGATTCTCCAACCTACATCACCCCCTCCAATGGGCATAGTGATTTCTGGATAACAGCCAACAACATCACAGACCAGACCTTCTTGGGCTATACGAGAGAGTATAATAATAATATTATTATTGTTTAGAATCTCTCTGATTATACCCAGTATACTTACTCTATCTTTACTCTTCTACCCACCCCACTAATTCGACCACTTCTTTCCAAATTCCATCCTCCCTGC